ATCAAAGTTGTATTTTGGCTCCTGTGGATTTGGTTTAATTTTCCTCAGCTTCAGCTTGAACTTGCATATGAGTAATTGGTGGTCTGTTCCACAGTCAGCCCTGGCCTAGTTTTCACAGCTGATATTGAGCTTCTCCAGCGGTTCCTTCCACAGATGTAATCGATCTGATTCCAATGCATACTATCAGGTGAAATCCATGTGTATAACCTGCGTTTGTGTCTCTTACATCCTAGTGTGTGATAATATTAACCATGATGGCCACTTGCAGCTTTCAGCCTTCATGTCTTTGATTTCTGGAAAATAGATGGTTTCTTGATTTCCTCTTTTTCCTGTTTGGATGCTATACTTTATGGTCTGACTGTGTATTTATTGACATTTTTATTTACCTATATGATTGTCTTTTTCTCTTTAGAGAAATGTTCTCTATTTTTATCTTCCATCTCTTCTCTTTTTTGGAAGCAGGAGTGACATCCACTTCCTAAAAACAACATGCCTCCGGAACCTTTATGAACTTTGATAAATGTTGATAGTTTTAGAGGGGCTTCAGGGCTTTTGTTTATAGTGTCGCTATGAATTGTGCTTGACTTGAAAGCAGTCAACAACAACTGTTTAGGGTTTTTATATTTGTTATAATGCTTTTATTTTCTGTCAGCATTTTTTCTTGTGTTCATTGTTCATATTTTGTGTATATTAATATTTTTTTATTTAATAGTTGTAAAATACAAGTTTCCCCCCCAGTATTTGCCCACCATCCCTTTTTGTGGAAAGTTTCTTTTTAATAATTTGTTTTGGGGTTGTACCCCAAATGATCATTCTATTAAGCTACTCCATTGTTTTTAACATTAACTATTCTTCCTCTTCCTGATCTAAAACCTCCCATCTGTACTTTTTGGGGCTTGACAATTTACTGGAAAGTCCTCCAGAAGCTCACTCAGCTGTTTATGATATATCAGGCAGGCTTGAGGCAGCTGACTTCAGTCAGGAGGCCATCCCAGTCAAGTGAGGAAGGTAAATCCCCAACTGTAATCTTCTATGAGACACTGGGGCATAGATTCTCAAGAGAATAAAGGGTGTGATACCTTACTCCAGCCTTTAGTAAGTCTTTAATCAAAGTACTTATTTTCTTTCACCCACCAGCTATCTTATATTGCTTCAAATTAACCCCCAGAGTGGGTTCAGGCAATTCTAATTGTTTCCCTTACCACGTTGCCACAGATGACGGCAAAATGTGTTTCTAAGCACGGTCTTCAATTTAAAAGTGTGCAGCAACGTGTTGAGCACATCCAGTCAGCTTACTTCAGGGCAGACTTAGATGATCTCAGTTTTACAATATCTGATAGGGGAGGTTTCCCCCAATTAGACATTAATATCGCTGTTTTATCAAGTTAGCTGAGCTTTAATAATGTGGTGTCCCAGGATATCAAGGAATAGAAAAGCCATTTCAAAAAGTAAACCCCTGACACCACAGTGATCATAGTACAAGCTATAGCTATGGTGTGTCCTTGAAGAATTTCTGAGAAACTGTAATTTTTCCCCCTGTATTTGGCAGGTAGAACCCAAAAGGTAAAATAATAGAAGAAAATTGTAATATAACTGGATTAAACTCATTCATTGAATGACAGTGTTAATATGTTGTTAGGTGCCATCAAATTGACTACGACTGATGACTATGACTTTATGAACAGCAGAGCTGAGCCTTTCCCTATCTTGCATTATTCTCATGTCCAATGAAACTGTTAATAGGTTGGAGTTAGACATAAGCATATAACTTAAGAATATTCAGAAGCCACAGGAAGTTTGAAAAAACAAAAAACACAAAACCAAACCCACCCAGAATGGAGAAGGACATAATCTAAATTATAATGAATTATAATTCGAAATTCAACATATTAAAAGGAAAAAAGATAAGAGATTTCTAACCTTTCCACTGGTTTGGATAATGTATGTCAAGGCCTGTGAGAGAAAAAGGATGTAGAACCTCATCATTCAACATAGAAATGTCCTGTAGTCTTTCTGCTCTCAGCTATGCCTGAAGTGTAGTTTTCATCTGGACTAGCACAAGGAGTGTGGATTGGAGGTTTGGATTGGGAAAGAGTGTCAGTTATTGTTACCTGTGATTTAGCTTTTAAATTGATAGTCCTTGTATAGAACTTTAGTTATGAGTACAAAATCTGTGAAGAAAAAAAATAATTCTGGCTTTTAAGATTATTGAATATTTTTACTTTAAAAACAGAGTGTCCTTTTTATTAAAAATCCAATATAGATATGAAAATAAGATTAATCTCTAAAAGCAAATTAGGTATTGTTTCTTCACATCCATTTTGAAAAAAAATACTCCGTTTTAGTGGATGTTTGCCAAAGAAGGAATTTTTTAGATACTGTTGGTTGACATGTAACTTGGTGTAACTTGGTAGAACCTTTGTGGACAGTGCACTAAGAAAAGAGCAAAGTGAGCAAAACCTACATAGCAAACTCTGATGGACGTGAATCCATTTTCTACCTGGTTCCGGATTCACCCCTTCCCTTCTTTCCTTGTCACCAGTCTCCAGTTGGCACAGTCTTTTTCCAACCTCTAGTCACCCAGAGCCTTTCAGAGAACTTAAAATTCTTTTAGAATTCTTTCACTGATAGCACTTCCTGTGCAGCCATTTTCTGACCTAGCCCACCTGAGCTCAGTGAGAATATGCAAACTAGAGGGCCTCTATCCTTCAGAGTAACTGTTGGTAACTGGCCTAGACACTGTGAACTGAATCAAAGCACAAGGTATGTGTTTTCAGACTGTCAAATGGGCAGGTGTGTCACCCTCTACTGTCTCTCATCACCTTAGTGGATTTGTTAATTCACTCCAATGACTCAAAGAACTTACTGAGACTATGTATACTTAGAGCTACATATTTAGTATAACCAGAAAAGGTGAACACAGACACATAACACTAAGTCTGGGAGATATCCAAGCAATAAGGCCTGGTGTCAATAGGGACAGTGGCCCTTTCCCATGCATGGATGATCTTGCAAACCCAGGAACTTCCGTGTTTAAAACATTTTCTTAGTTTCATTGTGTAGTCGTAATTGACATCTCGTTGAGTACTCAGTGTGGTTTGAATCACGGATGACTATGCATGATTGATTACATTGTGCCACTCTGATCCTGAAATTAGCTGATTGGGGGAGGTCTCACCCTCATTCATTGTATACATTATGAAGTACAATCTGAAGGTTTTACAGACCCCACTGATTATTTCTCCAGAACCAAGAACAAAAGGCTAAGTTGGTCTATTAAGACAGTTCCTTACTGCAGTGAGAGCAGTTTAGAAATACATTTTAAAATTTAGAATGTAGCCTAGGGGAAGAAGCTGTGCTGCAATCCCGAAGGTGTGCTGTATGAATCTACTAGTTGCTCTGCGGAAAAGGATAAGCAGAGTCCTCCAGAGTGATTAACTGCCTCTGAAAACCTGCTGCAGAGTCAGTTACAGGTCGGTTCCGACTTGATGGTACAGAACAACAAGTTATACATCTACTCGGAACAGAATTTACCCTATAGAATTATTTAGAGGCATTTTCAAATTGAAATGTACAACTATTTTTAATGCTGTTTTGTTTTTCAGTAAGGAAATACTGGAACTAACTTAAAAATTAGTGAATGAAGAACTGACTAATCTATGGCACAGTTACACAATTTAATGTTACATAGAATTTAACACCAAAGTGACAATATTGGTACTCTTAGCAAAATGACCACAATGCATTAGTGACAAAAAGAAATAGTTTGTATAGAAGTATCTGTATCTATATATGTAATGCAGGGAGTTCTGGTGGTTTAGAGGTAAGGAACCGTACTACCAACACATAGGTGCATGGTTCAAATCCACCAGAAGATGGGCATTCAACTCTGGTGCAATTTATTGTCTCTGAAAACCTGCGGGAGAATCGGCTGTGGGTTTATTTTGACTCTCTGATATACAGCAACAGTCTGTAAGACAATTCTACAGAAATGCATATTCAACTTTCATGATTTTTTAGGGTTATGAAAGTTAGAAATATGGTCTCTCAGTCCATTCAGTTTCCTGTACGAGGGTGGGCAGGGAATGGGGAGGAAAAGTAAACTTGTTTAAGTATTTCTTGAATGTTTTTAATTTTTCGAGTTAGGTTATCTTTATAGTTTAAAAATAAACTACAGTCTAATTACTTTATAATGAGCTAGGCTATACTTAATGGAATTTTTTTCCTTTCATTTTTAGGACATGACTGATAATAGCAACAATCAACTGGTTGTACGAGCAAAGTTTAATTTCCAGCAGACAAATGAAGATGAGCTTTCTTTTACAAAAGGAGATATCATACATGTTACTAGAGTGGAAGAAGGGGGCTGGTGGGAGGGTACTCACAATGGCAAAACTGGCTGGTTCCCCAGCAACTATGTTCGAGAAATCAAATCAAGTGGTAAGTGTTCAATTTGGTATGTTCATAGAATTGACTGATGGTTTTCGTTTTAGATGAGGAGGAGAATAAGGGAGTAAATGTCCAATATAGTACTCTAATCTTTACTCTCCAGTTAAATTTGTATAAATGGCAGTCACTTTCACTTTAGAATTTAAATTTTGTCTATTCCATTTTATTAAATGGATTCTGTTTTTACCTAACTTCATATAAGAGATGCTTTATCCATGCTAATAATCCAGCATGTTGAAAATGATACTTGAAGCATTCAGGTAACTTCTCAGGGTGATTTTCAAATTGATTAGAATGCTATTAATACTATCTGTTAGCTGTAATTTCTTGTACAAAGTGTGCTCACCTTTTAGTACATCTCTGTTGACACCATAACCATCAAGAGCTCCTTTCTGAAATGCAAGGTAGAACCTGAGGGCTGGCAGTGACAAATGTAGCTATAAGAAACACCAGCTAATAAAATGTTTACTTATGTTGACTACATAAAGAACTACTTCACTCTTTACTTGAAATTCACATTTTTATACCTTATTTCTGAGTACGTGTTTTAAATGTTTTAAACACATTTTAAATGTGTTATCATCGAACTGCCAGATTATCAGTCATCAAAGAGACTCTTTGCAGGAAACCATGTTGAATCTATAGTTTTAGTACCAAACTGACTCAAGTAACTTTGAGAATCTTTCGTTTTTTCCCCCCCTCTATTTGCTTTTTAAAATCTAAAGGACTGTTAACTTCATTTGCTCATATTGGTGATCCATCATGCTCCTTAGCTGACAGTTGGAGCATGGGAATAATCTCTTCTAGGAATAAATTTCCATCTGTAGCATAATCAAGTTAATCTGAGTATAATATATGCTAAGGATTTTTTTGCCAACCTAATTTCAAAATATGGGCAGAAAAACATGAAACCACAGTATTCTGTTACCACTTTTTGCACTTGAGAACAACACTTTAAGATCACAGTAGCGTTTCTTTATTGTGCATTTTCAATAATTTTCATGACTTTTTTACGTTAGAACTGTTTTCTCCTGAGGGACAGTACAAGAAAGGGAGACCCTCGATGGGATGGATTGATTCAGTGACTGGATAATGGGGGTAGGTGTGTCAGAGATAGTGAGATTGGCACAGGACAGAGCAGGGCTTAGGGCTGTTGTATACAGGGTTGCTGTAAGTCACAGGTGACTCGATGGTACATAACATTTTACATAGGCTTGTAATCTTCAATGTTATTTTTTTTTTAAAAATTTTTGTTTTTAAATTTTATTATTTTTATGTGCGTGTACCGTCAAATCAGATCTGACTGGTACAGTATGAGATTGTCCCTCCTTTCCTGGCAGAGCATCTGGTGGATTCGAACCGTGCACCTCTGGGATTGTAGTTGCAGCTCCTTGTCACTAGGCCACCAGAGCTCCCCTATCTTCAATGTTATGAATCCTTTATTTTCTGAAAATAATTTTGTTAGTGTTTCAACCATACAGACTTGGTTAGTAATACTTTTAGTGTCATTTCCTTATAAAATAAATTGGTACTGATTTCCTTTAAATGGGAAGTTTTTCTGTGTATAAATTTTCTTTATATTTAATTTTTACTGAATAAAATGACACTTCATTGACTAAACTGGTATTTGCATCTAAATTTTATGTTTTGGGGTGTTTATCTCCATACCAATTCTGAAAAATATTTCATCTCTTGTGTTTTCCTGAAAAACCAAACACATTTTGTCTTTGAATCAGTTCTGATGTGTAACACCTATAGGAGAGAGTTTCAAAGTAACTTTCCCATAGAATTTCCAGTGCTCTAATCTAATGAAGGAGTGGTGGCCTGATGGTAAGAAGCTATGCTGTAGTTCTTCAAGGCAAGCAGTTCAAATCCACTATCTGGTCCATGTCAACCCACTGGACTGTCAGCTCTGAGTCAGTTCTGATTCTATGGCACACAACATCATCAATATTTATAAAACTAGACTTCTTTTTTCCTGAAAACTGCTGATGGGTTTGAACTGCTGACTTTTCATTGGGCAGCCTGGAGTAACACCTGTGCTGCCAGGGTTCCTCCATTTCTCTAAGGAAATATAAATAGCTGTTGTTTGCCATCTTGTGGCCACATGTGGAAGTGGTCGGCTTCATTGTGTATTTATGCTTTAAACCTTTCTTGTTTGAAGTAATGCTTAAGACAGAGATCTTCCCTAATTCTATAGAAGGAGCTTTCTAATGCTTACTGCAGAAACATTGAATATTACTTTTGAATCTTTAACATTTTATAAATCTCAACTCCTTGATGTCATGTCAGACTTGACTTATAGCTGGTCCCCCAGCAGGAGATGACCCATATTTCTCCCACTGAGCAGCTTGTGGACTCAAGTCACTTGTCCTTAGGCTGATAGCGCAACTTCTTTCTTACCCATGAGACCAGCAGAGATGTTATAGAAGATAAATAATTGTTATTTGCCATTTATTTTGCTCTGCTCTTTTGTTATACACACACACACACACACACACACACACACACACACTCACTCATATACATACATATACACATGCACACATCTAGGCACACAACAGGGATTTCTTTACAAAATCAAGAAAGAAGGAAAGAGTAGCAGCATGGCACTTCTAGGAGTAGAATTATTTTAAATGAAAATGGAGGTACTAAATAATGTGTAGTTACCATGATACTTGATGCTTGTTATCTAACTGCATACAGATTTACCAGATTTCTTTTAAAGGATAATTATTAATGCATTAGTTTTAATTTCTCCCATTTCTGCATAGCTGATTGTTGTACTGTAAAGGCATTTAATCAAGATCTTTTCTAGGTTAACTTGAATTGATGAGTAATAGTCTGTACCTGCCAGCGATAGGAGACATTGTGACCATCATTTGCTGATCGATCTTTAGAGCACTTACAGTGGTACTTTGAACATTTTTAACTTTAAATATTTTCTATTTATTTGAGCTATCAAAAAGAAATACCTAATGCGATCTGTATTTTATATGCAATTATTAATGTAGCTGTGAACGAATTGTTAAGTGCTGTCAAGTCAACTAAAACTCATAGTGACCCTGTAAACAGTTGATCTAAACCTTGCTCTATCCTGTTCCATTGTGGCCATCTCTAACATACTTAAGGTCATTGTTACAAGCACTGTGTCAGTCAGTCCTGCTCAGTGTCTCCCCCACCTTCACTGACCTTGGCGTCTCCTAACTATGTGCCCGGAGTATGTGAGATGAGGCGTCACACCCCTTGTCTCCACGAACCCTGGCTACACCTTTTTTGAGACATACTTGTTTTTTCCTTTTGGCAGTCAGCAAAATTTATATAGGGAAAGAGACAACTCTGTAGGCAGTTACGTTGCTAACCCTCAAGGGGCACTTCTCTGGCAGCTTGCATCCACCAGCAGCTCTCCGAGAGATTGATGAGCAGTATCCTCTCTTGTGATTTACAGCCTCTGAAAGAAAACCCACTAGAAGGTCAGAAGTGAGTTCTGACCAGATGGCAATAATTCATTTTGCTTTGATGTGATTGAAAGTACTATTTAAATTTCTGAGCAACTGGGATAAAGCTGTATTAGAGGATGGACATCTAAGTGCATTGTCTCTTCTATAATTGTTATTGTTGTTTTGTACCGAAGAGTTGGAAGCGACCCATAGTTAACCCTCTGGTGGGTTTTCAGAGACAGTTAATCACACAGAAAAAGATTGCCCATCCTTCTCCCGTGGAGCAGCTGGTGGCTGTGAACCTTGTGCCTTCGAGATTGCAGTGCAGCTTCTTGCCAGTAGGCCATCAGAGTTCCCTTCTAGTATTATGTGTGATGTTTAATGGAGAATGAGGCATGCTATTATAACATGAAAGATAGGAGCATCGCAGGCATGCATAACATTGAACAAACAAGATCTCAAGTTAAATAGTTTGGAATTTGTTCTGGATGTTAAAATTCCTTCAGATTACTATCGTAAATGAGCACTCATGCAAGCCCCTAAGCATGCTGCACCTTAGAATATTCTGTGAATCTGGGAGTTTTCCAGTGATAGTCACTTAATATCCTAAAGTTCAAGAACACATTCCAACGAACAGTTGATATAGAATAGTTTGGTGTCAGGGTTGTTAGTCTTCCAGCTTTAAGTGTGTTTTCTTTTTCATTTGTGTTAAAGTAGTAGCAACAATGAATTAATGGAAATCCAAAATCTCTCTAAATGTTCATTAAAATTAATGAAACAAAATTTAAAAAAGAAGGTATGTTGTTAGTTGCATTTCCTGACTTAGTATAAATTTAATCCTACTCTTTCAGCTAGTAATCAAGTGCTTAACTGTTTGCACCACAAAGAGACTCTTTTTTTAATATATAGTAGAGTAGAACAGTTTGTGTAATCAAAATCCTTTTAATCCTCCTGCCTCTTCCTCTAGTTCCTAATCCTAGATATTCTGTTAAGTGATTGTACCCACAATGATTTGTATTGTAGTTAGATTTTTCTGCTCTGATTTTGTGTCTTAGACATTAGAGTTTGACTTTTTAAGACTATCTTCTCCTTTTAGGTTTGTTTTGTACTTTCATTAAGTCCTTGTGTTGGTTACCTCTGTTGATAATGCTAATACCATTATTTTGTATTTCATTGACATTTGATAGTTAACTTTTGGTTTACTTCATGAGGTAAGATGAGAACTTACCTTGACCTTTTTATTTATTTGGTCTTTTGCATGCTGGTCTGTTACTTTTTAGTATTACTTTGTTAGATTTGTTAATGATTACATTTATTTTGCAAAATCAGTATCTATTCAACAAGTTTTTCTTGACCATCATTAATCTAGAAACTAGGGGTAAAACAGAAAAGACACCAGAAGAGTTTCTGCCGCTATGGAGCTTACCTGAAGCTCTATGAATAGCAAAGTAGGTTGAATTGACCCGTCTGTGCTGTTTGAAACAAGATATTAGGAGGAAGGACTTGAAATATTAGGAGGAAGTGGCACAAAAAATATTAGAAGGAAGCACTTTTATAGAATAAGAGACACTTAGAGGCTCAATAATTGTACTGCATAGATTTTACATGTTTCCTAATTCAAAGAAGCATTTTATAAAGATATTGTGACAAACACTGTTGGGAATTTTGAATATAGGCTGTTGGGAATTTTGAATATAGGCTAAGTATTTGATAATAATTAAGAGTTTTGATTCAAGGAAGAAGATTCTTGTTTGTAAAATGGACATTGAAATATTTATGTTTGTAGAAAATCAGCTCCCTAGCACCTACAGTAAGAGTCTCACACATATTCCAGAGCTATGTGAACAATTGCAAGTACTTCTTTTTTTTTTTTTTTGCGGGTACTTCTTGAGTACATATTATGCTGAATAAATAATTGTTCGATATCAGTTCCATTTTTAAAAGTTTGAATCCTTAAAGTAATCATGACAGCTTTAATACTTGTGTCTGAAATAGAGATTCTTACAGGAATGTGTTTCATGAGGAACTCCCCCTTCATAGTCTTGTATTTCACTAACTGGTATTTAAAGCTCTGAAATCTGTTTTCTTCATTTGCATGTGACTTCGCTACTGATTTCACTTCTATAAGAATCTATTTTTTCCCCCCTCTGTAATCTGTGCACTGTATTTATTCCATTCTCTTGAGTTTTTCTTATTTTCATCCTTGCTTAGGATGTCTTTTCTGTTTGTGTCCTCTGTATGATGCTTTATGGCAGGCCTTGAGTTAGAAGAAGTAGACCCTTTAACATTCAGGGAGATCTGAATCCATACAAGATAGTTCACAACGATAAATCTTTATATTTTCATACTGCCACATGTTTGTTAGCATTTTCTCTGTTTAGTAGTATTTTATGTTCACTGTACTCTTGAGCTATACTGTAACTAAACAGTTCTTTCTCTTGCTGATCGAAATAGAGCATAAGCTCTCTTAGACATTTTCGGTCTATAATTTGAAGAGTGAATTGAGTGATGTGCTTATGAACACATTGTACTTACTATGAATGTTAAAAGAAATGTAACATCTTTTGCCAACTTGGAGAACTTTCTTTGACTTTTCCTTGTTTTTATTTCACTTGAGATTGTCAGAAGAGTGAACCTGGATGTGTACAATGCCTCAGTGCATTTTCCCCTTCATATTCTAATGTGTTCCTTACCACTGAAAATGATGAGAGAAACTTTACTAAATTTTTATTTCAGAAAAGCCTGTGTCTCCCAAGTCAGGAGCATTGAAGAGCCCTCCCAAAGGATTTGATACAACTGCAATCAACAAAAGCTATTATAATGTGGTGAGTAATTGTAAAAACAGTTTTATAACTTTTAAAAAAACAATCTTATATTAAAAAACAACAAAAAATCAATCTTTTGTAGAATACTAGTTAAGTTCTGAAATATGAGCAAAGTAACAATGCTATCTGCCGTACACTGATGATAGTAGTCAGTAGTATGCTGCAGTACTAACAGAAATGCCATGAATCTACAGTGATTTGAATCCACCAGTAGGAGAAATATCTCCAAGTATTAACATTTGCCTTCTAGGAAACTCAGTGGACTCATTATTCATTTGATTGGTTCTTGTTTTGTTTTCTTTATCTGCCATGTAGTTGAAACGACCATTAATATTTTGAGTTTTCCCCTGTTTATATTATGTTGAAAATATACGTAATAAAATGTAGATCAGCTCAGCAATTCATAGATGTATAATTTAGTGATTTTTGTATTGCATACAGTTTTCAAGTTGTAGAACTTCCGTCTTTATATACTTTTCCAAATCATTCTACCACCATTATCATAAACTCACAGAGTCCAAACAAAACTCTGCTAACCACTGACAGATCTTTGATTTTTGTATGAGTGTTTGTTCGTGGCATGCTTTCAAGTTTCATTCATTGACATGTGTCAGGGCTTCTTTTTTCTTCTCTCTCTTTTACCCTTTTTTGTGTGTATATACCAGATATTTTTTCATCCCTTCATCTGTTGGACATTTCAAGTGAGTGGTCAAGTTTGTTTTGTTGGGTTTTTTTTCTCTTTTGGCTTTTGTGAAAAGTGCTTTATATAAACATTGAAATATAGCTTTTTCTTTGTATTCCTGCCTCCCTTCTAGGTGGATACCTGAGATTGGATTGTATGTTCAGCTCTTGACCTGCTGAACTGTTTCCAGTTTTACATTCCCAACACCAGTTAATAGAATTCTGCTTTCCGCATAACCTTTCCAACACTTGTGTTTTTATATCATTACCATTTTCATAGTTTTGATGTAGTATCTCATTGTAGTTTTGACTACCATCTCTCTAATGGCTAATAGGTAGCTATAGTGGCCTAGTGACAAGAAGCTGTGTCGTAATCTCAAAGGCAGGCAGTTTTGCAGGAACAGCATGGGCATTCTCCTGTGCGACTTACTGCCTCTGTAACCTGTTGGAGGGTCAGTTATAAGTCAGTTTCAACTTGATAACACACAACAATGAGAACAGTAAAGGGAACTCTGGTGGCCTAGTGGTATGGAGTTTTACTGCCAACCCAAAGGCAGGTGGTTCGAATCTGCCAGCTCCTTTGAGGGAGAAAGATGGACAATCTCTTCCCATGTGATTTACGGTCTCTGAAACCCACTGGAGGGTCAGCTATGACTCTGTTCCTACCCAGTGGGATATAACAGCACAACAATGGCTAATGAACCTTCTCAGTGTGTTGAGTAGTCAAGCTCTAAGTGGCTAACTAAAAAGTTGGTGGTTTACAGTCTGTTTTTGTTAACACTCTGGTCCTGAGTACCCTTCGGGGGCATTTATGTTTTGTCCTTTGGATTGCTCTGAATTTTAATAAATTCAGTGGCAAGATTATTATGCTATTGATGTTGAGCCCTCTATATGTTTGTTGGGTGTTTTAATTATCATTTTTGATGAACTGAATTATCCAAGTCCTTTACCTGTATTTTGATTGCATTGTTGGTCTTAATTGTTATTTAGATAATTTTTAAATTAAAATATATTTTAGATAATCCTTATGGGATGAATGGCACCAGTAAAAGTTTTATCAATCTATAGGTTCTTGTTTCATTTTTTAAAATACCCCTTGAACAAAACTTTTGTTTTATGAAGTTCTATATATTTATTCAGTCACTTGCTGCTTTTGCTTTTGTTGTGATTTCTGATAATCCGTCATTTAAAAACAAGACCCTACAACCATGTCCCTGTGGTTTTTTTAAAGATTCGTGTGGCTTTAGTTTTCTTCAAAGACTTTTATGGCTTTCATTTTCATACTTACAGATTATTGTAATACTTTTGTTTTAATACTACATGAATTGTGCCAAGTAATAATGTTGTTGTTATATGCCGTAGACTTGCTTTCAAGACTTGCTTTCAACTCATAGCAACCGCATGTACAGCAGCTCTGACCCTACTTTATCCTGAGCCAACCTTACTGTCTCTGACTCACCTACCCCTACTACCCCAGTTACTGAGTCATTCCATCTCATTGAGGGTCTTCCTCCCTAACACTGTCCCTCCAACCTTCGAAGCATGATGTCCCTCTCCAAGGACTGCTCTCTCCTTGCAACATACGTAAAATGTACAGTGTTTTGAATATTTCTTCATATCATTATAGGTCTTTAAAAACCAATATTTTTTAATAAGGTATTTAATGTGATTTAAAATTTTATATGTATTGAGTGCCATTACAGGCAGCCATGGTATACCAGTGGCTGATTTACATGTAGCCTGTTAGGAACTAACCCCAATAAAGTTTATTACATTAAAGATTACATGTATATATACAATGGTTTGTAATAATAAACTTAAAGTAATTTTTGATGCATATCAGAATATCATTATTTGTGTTTAAGATTTTTTAGTGTGGAAGTTATTTTAGTATAGCTGGAAATGTTTCTTTAAAATTTTTTTTTGCGTACAGTGGCACAGTATATACTAAGACAAACATTTAAATTACAATACTAATCCAACTTGACTGTACTCCTGTAGGTTCAAGTTTGAGTTAAACATAGATGTAGAAATAGAAATTATTTGTAATCCCTGTACTGCTTCTATATTGGCGAAACACCTTAGTATTTGCTGTAGAAAAAGTATAGAGTGCTCATTGGAGGCAAAGATGATAAAGCTTCGTCTCACATACTTTGGGCATATTGCTAGGGGAGCCTATTTCTTGGAGAGGGACATCATACCTGGAAAGGTGGAAAGTGTTAACGAAAGAGAAGCAGACCCTCAGTGAGATAGATTTACACAGTGATTGTACCATGGATTCAACTATGTCAGAGGTGATGAGGCACAAGATTAAGATTGATTCAGATTTGTTCATAGGGTCTCTGTGAGTCGTTATCAAAGTTACCTAATCAACAGTAAGTACTTTAGGTAGTTATGCATCTTAAAAGCGTTCCTTCAGGGAGAGGAAGGGAAGAGAGAGGGAGCGTGCGTGAGCGTGCGAGCACACGCACGCACGCACATGTGTAAGAAAGCAGAGTTAAATTGGTCTTCCGAAATGTGTCTTGTGCTTTTGAAGTTCCACGGATATAAAGTACGTTCTTCATTTTCATAACAAATCAACAATATTTCTACACTATAATTTTTTGTGCTAATAATGCTATATAAAAAAGAAAACCTTTTCCCTGCTTAAATATATATATATAGTTATTGATTATTTCTAGCTACATTAAAAATAAAGTATCATTTAAAACTGGGGGGAAAAAAAAAAGAAAGCAGATCCCACAAAACAGGTAGTTAAGCACTTGCCTCCTAACTAAAAAGGTTAGTGTTTCCAACTCACCCAGCAGCTGTATGGGAGAAAGAGCTGGTAATCTGTTTCCATAAGGATTATAGCCAAGAAAATATGAGTCAGAATCTACTAGAGAACTTTCCAAAAGAGGATTATATGTGTATATGCTAAATGTGATAGAATTGCCAGAGAGGGTCTAGATAGCCTATATGTACTAAAAGAAAACTTTTAACAGTCACAAACTTCCCGCATTTTTGAAACTTAACATAAACATAAACTGTTTTATATTGTAAAACTTACTTATGGTATTTGCATAAAGAACCTGCACGTTTACTAATACTGGAAATTTCAATTCATAGGAGGGCATATTCGAAAATTTTATATAGAATTCTGAAAACAATTAAAACCATTAATCTAGTATTTATTATTACTGAAAATCCATCCCTTCAAAATAACCTGAAATATATTCAAAGATGATTAGCCAAAAATGTTTCCATAGAATTAATTTTTATGGTGTTAAATTATAAGCAATCTAGATAATACAGCAGATCAAGAGTGCATTAAAAAAGTACTGGTCCAGAGCCAACTGTTAAAAATGTATCTGAGGCTTTAAAAATAGGAATATATTTTCCTCCTGTTACATGGAATAAACAAGAAAAAATTGTATAAGTAACATGATATGATAACCTTAAAAATTGCCATTAAAAGTAGAAGGAACTATGTCAGATTGGTTATTTACTGAGTGAGAGTTATTGGAGATTTATTTTTCATGTTTTTAAATATTTTCTAGATTTTTTTTTAAAAAAAAAAACAATCCATCATAGCAATTTTTAGGGTTATTTTTTCACCTGAAGAAAAATACAATAGTAAGTTATTTTAGCTTCCTGAGGATATAATTAACAGTTATTTGAGAGGATTACTTAGGAAACAGAGTCCAGAAAGTATTAGAGAAAGAGATTATGACCAGTTAGGAAGTTGTGTCAGAACATGGGCAAAGGAATATTGAGATTTTTAATTAGTAAAGTCACACTGGAAGACAGTAAAACAAAGTACTCTTTCCGTAAAAAGTTACCTTTACTTTTCCATTTAAATTAAGTCTGTTGTCAAAGTGTTAGGTAAATGAATTGTCAGTGTATGGCTGTATGTGTGGTGGTGTTGGTGTTGTTGTTGTTATGTGCCATCGAATGGCTTTCAACTCATAGCGACCCTATGTACAACAGCTCTGAACCTTGATCTATCCTGAGCCAACCTTACTGTCTCTGACACACCTACCCCCATAACCCCAGTTACTGCATTAATCCATCTCATCCAGGGTCTTCCTCTCCTGTGCTGCCCCTCCACCCTCCCAAGCATGATGTCCCTCTGTAAGACAGGTTCCTGCTTGCAACATGCCCCAAGTATGTCAGACAGAGCTTCAGAATCCTTGCCTCCAAAGAGCAGCCTGGTCTCACCGTCTCCAGGATAAACCTATTAGTTCTCCTAGCAGTCCATGGTATATTCAGTAATTCATTGCTCTTTTACAGCACCACAGCTCAGAGGCATCAATCCCTAGTCATTTTCCAACTTTCTG